GGCGATGAGTGGAAATCGTATAAGAAGATCTCGTGCAATGTCGAGATGTGCTTCTGTTCCATATAGAAATAGCATATGAATGGGGCATTCACCCACGGCTCCTCTCGTGTCAACAACATTCCGATCATGCTCAATCAATTCGTCAATAGCAACCTTGTCTGCATTAAATATGGCTGTCCATATCGTATTTTCTTTGTACATAAGTTCAGTTTGTTGTTCAACTCCTGATTGGTTTGACTTAGCATTGAGCTTTGTTACTAAAAAAAAATTATTATTTAGCATAACGATGAGAACATTTTACGATACCATTCTTCATTTTTGGGGTCGAATCTGGAGAATAAGTCTCGATTAAGATTCTTTTTTTATTTCTTATCTTTTGTTTAGTATGCATAGAATTGTGAGCTAAGAGATGTCACCTACACGTGTTGCTGGTGTCATAAAGAAAGACACATGACGGCGTATGAGTCCTGCATTATACAAGACAGCGTACAAATAAATTGCCTCGTTCTTTCCTATTCTGCTTCTCTGACTCTCTCTTACCCGGGTAAGAGAGAGGGGAACACATGGGCATGGTCACGTCAATGTGTTCCATACATTCGAATAGACAATTAAGGATTAACAAAAATTGTCATTTTGAGTATTTCTATTATTTTCAAAAGTATTTTTATTTCGATTATACTCTTTCATGTTCTTGAATTAGTTTCGAGCTATGCCAATGTATGAAAATGCCTCGCAAATTTTATGTTTTATGTCTCTAATAGTGATAAATGTGATATCATAGTCGTTTGTTAGAGTTTGATAATCGTAGCCGTATTGCATGTCTTAGCGATGACTAAATAAATTTGCTTTACAAACGATTTGTTTTAATTACTCTTATTCATCTTTCTTGTGTTTCTTCGCCACGGGTAATCAGAATATTTTGGCATTTTCAGAGGATACGCATTAGCTGATGGACATTTCCTTTGGAATTAAATGGCATCAAAGAACTGATCAATATATCTTTTAGACAATATGCTCTATTCAGCGAGCTATCTGTCGAATGAGAGATATTTTCGAAGTAAATATGATGAAATCTCAATGAAGTATTGCACATGTATACAAATGTTTGTGTTCGATGGAGGAAGCTAAATGAGGAAAAAATAGCAGAATTTATCGAAAGATAACTTTTGGATCGCGCAAGAAGAAAGAATAATACATCGATAGCAAGAAATAATAACTAGCAATTGTTAAACTATCGGCAAAATTGCAAGGATAAAAGCAGATAATTCTCTCCATGCGCTATGTTTTCCGACTATGTACAAGTAAAATTTCACCAAAAATGAATCGGATCCTTGAAATCATCATGCCATCAGATATTATCGATGCGTCAAAGACTTTGATAAAATATTCTCATTAATCTTAATTAAACCAATAACTATTCTCTATGCTTGATAGATCACAATGAACGGATTCTGTGCGGCGATATTTTGTTTTTCTAAGATTACAACAAAATTAATTTCTCCAGGTTTTTTCCTTTATGTTTATAAATACCGTTTAGTCATTTGTGAAATAAACTTATATAACAAAGAAATCATCACTTAAAATATATTTCATTTCATCATGAAATGTTCAAACGACTTATCTGAAGTATTTGAACGTTTCGGAATAGACGCATCATAATGAATATAAGAAAAAACAATCTGTGAAATATTCAAGACTTCTCGGATATTGTCTTCGATAGAATATATTCAGGTCGCAATAACTTTCGATCTTCCGCTTGCATACCATGGGCGACAGTTGTCCTTCTATGTTGTGCCATTTGAGTTGATTTATCACAGAACTCAAGCTAATCTGAAGAAATAAGCACAAAACCATACTCCATCCTATTAAATTTGATGTCGATATTCTACTAGATTCTAATTATTGTAAATTTTTTATGAGAGTGTCATAACTGCGTATTAGCGATGACGTTGTTTTCAAGTTTAATTAGTATTTATTTCTCTGTCTATAAGCTGCATGTCGTTCGAGAAGGAGAACATATTTCGGTTGAAAGTCGTATGTTGCTATTAGAACGAGTCTATGTAATTTCGCCAATAGTGAAGTTCGCCAATTGTATATTTTCCATTAGCAAATTTCCAGCGAATTACCAGTGTGACATTTGCCAATAATTCAAGTACTTTCGTATGACTATGTTCGTCGATTGGCACAGTGCTAGTGGATATTCGCCAATTGGCGAAACTACAATTGGCGAAAATACATTTCCCCATTAGGAGTGTTCTAATTTTATGTTCGACAGACAGAAGAACAAGGTCAACGAGCGTCCCATTCTGACTTTTCTAATACTAATTCAATCTCGAACATTTTATTACTCGTTCTAACACGCTGTAAAACAGATAAGTAAATCAACATATTGTCTAAGGATTTTTTCTCTCTGCACCAATAGAGAACACTTCAACTGAATATTGGAAAATTTTGATCTTTGCAGTTCAACAAATCAGTGTTTAGGTGCTTCTATAAATTTGCATTGGTTTAAAACACTTGATTACTACGACAATCGAAATTTGTCGAACGACATGCCTAATAGACAAGCACTCGTGTAGACGGACAAGATAGGATAATGTTGCTAAGCAAACAATCATAATTGTAGACATCTGGTACAAACAGCAATGCTATTAACACTATTGCCGACTCTATAATTGAATGGTATAATACAAAAATAGATACTTTCCGATGCACCCTTTTCAAGTAAAACTAATCTAAATATCATAAATATCGATCGATTCTTTTCTGACTATTTACAAATAATAATCAATAGTTCATAGGCATCGAATTTCAAATTGAAAATGAGTTGGTTACATGTCAAGGTTTATTTTCTCATTCAGTCTGACTCATTTATTTCGCTGGTCAACATCATGAAATTTATTCCTGATCTTATCCGGTGGACGACTAGTACTTGTTTTGAGTTTTCATTCTGCAATGCGTTTTTAAATTAATACGATAATTCACTTTATACAATATAAAGGTCCGATTAGAATAACATGAAAGACTTCTGCAGTTTATAATTTTAATTATTTACTCAAATTCTAGGAGATGAATTTTGTGTCATAAATCTTTTATGGTCGATCATTAACCTTAAGTATCATCAATCATCGTATACGAATATTAGCAACTGGAAAAATATTTCTCTGTATTTGTCGAATAAATCTATTTTCTATCACGTATAGATGACAGTTGCATACAATTACGGATATTTCTTCTTTGAAACCGCCAGACAACTCAAACTAATCAATTCGATGACATTGATTTTTCTCTAGAATTATCTATTCATTAATGAATCGTATTTTCGTCGTACAGTTAATTTATGAGAGTTCAAATAATATCAATTAAAAGACAAATCAGTCGCATAATTTTCTTCAATGAAAACAAAGTTATTATTTATCGAGATCTCTCGATATTTGTTGATTATTTCGACAAAATAAATATGATTGAAGTCAATTTTTTTCTCTTTTGTAAAGAATTACGCCAAAAGTCAATCAAACCAGAGCTTCGCGTTCATAATGTTTTTTTTCATTTTCATATTAATCGATTTATTTTCTGGTGATGTATATAATCGATTTCAGTGTTCTCCGTTCTGTCTCTTGGCAACAATACACGGCAATAACAATTTAAGTTTACGACAGCAAGCTTGTTTTCCTCTCTTTTTGTTCCGCTCGTTTGCAGCACACCCGATGCCAATGACTCAACGAGAGAAAAATAGATTCATTTTGTCTTATCTCATATATTTATTTTTAACAATACGTGCAGATATATATTTAACAAGAATCAGTTCGTAATGGATGATGTACGTGAAATTTTCAACTTTTTATTTGTGAATGTAAATATATTTTATTTTATTTTAGCAAGCCGGAAAACCTTATTTGAAAATAATCGGATTGATTTGGATTCTTATTGAATGTAGTCTTGTGGCTGGAAAGTTAGAATTTGCATTTTTTATTATTAAAGACAATTTATAGAAAATCTTCTTTTTTGTTAGTATCTTTGGATTTGCATCACTGTTTACTGAATTACCTCGTTATGGTATTTATCAATCGGAATGTAGAAGTTCACTTGAACAAAATATATTGAGCGAGACAAACATAACAAAAGACACTTGCCATGGTCAACAGGCGAAGTATCAAGTTCGTTTAGATGAAAATATTTTTTTTAAATATTTTTTTTTGTCGATGATTTCAGCTTGCTTTTGCGTTGGGTATTGCATTTTATAACGTACCAGCTATGGTATCTGGTATGATTAGCGATAATTTTGGACCAAGATCTCTCAAATTAATTGCTATGTAATATATCTTCACCAGTTTAATTAGATAAGCTCTTTGTTTGTTTCTTTGATAGTATTTTTCATCTGATCAGCTGGTTATCACTTGGATTTATAACACCCGGTAATAAATTGTTCAGCGAATATTTTACCTTTTTAAATATTTAAATTAGATCGTAGTTGGCTTCTTATGATTCATACCATGTTTTTATCTCTATCGGGAATTAGTACTTTGTTAGCATCATTTTCTATATCGAACCATTTTGTTAAGAGTCGCGGTCTTGTTACGTACGTATTGTACTATAGTTTTTAAACAAAAATGAATTGAATATCATTTAAGAGCATTAATATCCGGTTCGCAACTCACTGGTTCACTTTGGTATGCCGTATTTCAAGTATGCTTTAGTTGACAAGATTGTTTTTGCCTCGATTTGTCGTGATTTATTTAAAACAGATTTTAATTGGAAAAGGATTGATTTCTCTTTCTACATTATCTTTTATATGGGCATCGTTGTCGGTGTTGATGTTCGGTAGTGCTATGCTTTTTCTTGATTGGCCTTTTAACTTTATCGATTCAACCTTAAAATCAAAAATAACAAAAAAACAAGGTCAGCAAATAGTCTACACAGTAAATTTGATTCTAATTTAATATATATTTTCTACGTCATTAGTTAAAACAATCACGACAGATGATACTTTAATAAAACACTTAACTAGTCCATTATTTATTGTTGTGACACTTTTCCTCAGTGCTCTACTGTTTACAATATCGTTTCTGCCCATTGTTTGGCCTGCATGGATATCTTACTTGACTGAATCTAACTCGGAATCAAGTGAGATTAACTATTGAATCTTTTTTCTATGAAATTCAAAATATCAATTATTTCATAGTTACACGTTATACGTTTTGGTTCAATATGCTCGCTGGTTTCGGAATTTTCATTGCACCATTATGTGGTTTTATTGTTGATTTCAGAGCCCATCGGGGTTTGTTAACTTTGACTTTGATCGTTTGAATTTTGCATTTTATTTTTCTTTCTCAAGGTTATACACAAAAAATGTTTAATATTTCGATTTTACAAACAATTACGTGGATTGGTTGTGTAAGTCTTTGTATGGTTTGTATGCAACAATCGATTACTGCAGCTCCGATTGCCTTGTTTATTTTGATTATTTCACGTGTTTTACTCGTGGCTGGTAGTCAAGCATTAATTGCTACTGTGTAAAAATGAATCTTATTGTTTATTTGCTTGTGAATAATTTTCGTTTTTTTTTCTCAGTTTTCCACCACAATTTATTGGATCTCTTCTTGGAGTTATGTGGACAATAGCAGGTCTCATTAGTTTTGCTATATATGCCTTACTACGTCTTGGAAACACTGGCAAAGATCTTTGGCGAGTAAATATCGAAAGAATTGTTTGGCTTTTTTCATAGATCAATTTGATGTTTTAGCCTTGGGCAGTAATTCTATTGCTTTGCATTATGATGGGTGGACATTTAATTCAAGTTTGGATGTTATATATCAAATCGAAAACAGAAAAGAAAAGTCAATCGTCGGTTATCGATGAAGAAGAAATGAATACATTGAAAAATTCAAATGACAATTAATTGTCTTTTTTGTTTCTTCATTTTATTACTTTTTAACCGTAGAAAAGTTATGTCTGTGTGCCAATTGCTTATCCCGTATTATGCTGATAGATAGAAAATAAAAGTGCTAAAATGATTTATAGGCTTCACTAAATTACGATCGTATTTTCTTTGTTATTCTCATTCGAAATTTACAAGCGGAAAATATCTTCAGGACTTTTTTAAAGCACGTGCACGGTATTCTGTTGAATAATATGCTGAATGTTAGTGTTAGGTCAAGGCTATCACAACCCTTATCATTTCTAGGAATAATTATCAAACGAAAAACTGACAGACATCGGATAAAACGTATTGAACAGCAACGTTAACAGCACAGCTTTCGGCTGGTGTACTGATAAAAATATTTTTGTTCGGAATTTCAAGAATGAGCATGCGGCGATTTATCATCACGGTCTTAAGATTCATTTATAAAAGAAAAATAACAGCACGAACCAATGCAATTCCAATTTTAGAATGTAATTCATATCTAAATATGTGAGCTAATTGAGATTCATAATACGGAGTGTTGGCAAATGCGGAAGATGCAATGCATACGAAACATAGTCTCATTTATAAGTCAAAGCAATGCTTATATTAATAATAATGATGGAATATTAAAAAGAGAACGAGGAGTCACACATACGAGAAATAGAAATATTATCTGTGATCATAATTCAGGTAATAGCTGGACAGCTAGTTTCTGAACTTCATGATAGGAAAATTCCCACAAAATCTTAACGTAGTACGGATTAATTTGTAATTTATTTTCAATTATGGTTTATAAAAGGAAACTTTCCAAGAGTTCAACAGATAGATGATTTTGCTAAAATATGGATATGTCGAACTTTCCAATGACAACATCTGTTACAGATTTGAACGTATAGAATAAATAGATAAAATGTTTAATTTTCGATTGCTTTGAGAATTACTCAAAGTTTTGGTTCTTCTCGCCTATGAGGTACTTTTCGTAGAGCAAGCGCTTCCATTCCAGGTTTAGTGATGTTTTGAATTTCTCTCAGAAATGACTGCGCCTATCTATTTTGTCAACATTTACCAAACGAATCATTAGATGAATGATATAAAAATAAGATTTTGACAAGTCTATGAGTGCCTATTGAAATGAAATCAATCAATTGTCAGTTCCAAAATCAATATTAGTTGTTGTGTCCAAATGCCAGTTATCTTAGTAGGGCTGGGTCCATATGTAGAAAAGAGTCAATCATATCACACATATCAAGGGTTGATTCGAGATAGACAAAAGCGCCTTGTTACACTATCAAACAAACCACAAATGATTCATTGCATCTAGGGATTCATGTAAAAGTCAATGTCTTGCTTTTGTTACACGAGTTTCATCGTATAATTCAGAATAAGTATCTTCACAACATATAATAAGCAACAAATCTATAAAAATTCAATCAAACCAAATATAAATTATCTGCACAAGTAAAGTACAAGCGAATGCAGACGTATAGAATACCGGATTGTCAACACTAGTTTAAAAAGATCTTTTAGTAAAATGAAACTTGATAGTATTGTTGACTGAATCTGTTGATGCGATAGAAACTGTGATTATGCATAAGCTTGAAAGTTGCACTAATGCTATTCGATGTTTTCGATCAAAAAAACAATATTTTTCAGTAATCACAATTTTGTATAAAATCTATTTCGATATTTTCTAGGGCAAAAAATCTCAATCTACCAATATTTTGTCGGAATTTTTGAGCTCGAATCTTTTTTATTCAGCATGTTTCTAGTTTTCACAAAATACCTCAGTTTCTTGAATGAAATTAGTGTATCTCGTTGGACTAGTTTTCAACTCGGCGAGAAAATTGTGTACAAAAATTTTCATGCGTCATTAATAGAGTTGAAATTTTCGACTTTCAGTTGTTTATTTTCAAGAGATAGTGTTTTTATTGATCTAAAAGGTCTCGTCTCATAACGATAAATCAAATGTATTCTTCTAAAAACGGAGCGGATGTTGAAATACTGGTTGATGTCTGTGACGAAGAAAAATATGTTATATCCTCGATGCTCAGTTAAAATAACGAAATAAAGTTCTAAGGTCAAAAGAACAAAACAACTAACTGAGAATCAAAAACATCGTGGAAGCGAGAAACGAAAGGTGAAAGTTACATCGAAGAAAGAAATGATCGCTTACAAAATGTTGCATTGATTTCTTTCAAGCATTCTATTTTCGGATGTTCGTAATTATTGGCATTAAATAAATCTAAATATAGTATGAACAAAAATGATGATACATTGGTGAACGATAAGAAAAATCCGTCCAGTTAAGCCTGATTGTTGAACCAAAGGGAGACATTTGTTTCTTCTCTTCGTGTGTGTCGTTGTTTTGTAACTTAATCATAATTTATCCTTTAGATGTTAGTTGAGTCGTGTGAAATTTTCGATGACTACTCAGCAATAATTTCTTGAACTTTCTATGTCAGTTTGTTATTGTGCTGACTCTGGGTATCATTGATTTTAATACAGAGTCCAGGGCCCAAGTATCACTGTAAGAAGAAATGTATGACCCACCAATCCAAATTGTTAAGATCGACCACTGTTCAAGTCTAATACCAGTGAGTACCCATGTAATAAAAACCACATGAAAATCGGCGGTTAACCACGGTTTTACTGGTCAGATTACCGGCTCCCATCAGTGAAAATTTACTCAAATTTACCGCGGTTAACCGGTTCGTCTATAATCTTTGACAAAAAAAGTGTTCCAAATCAGCAATTAAGCTATTTTCAACAACTTTTTTCTTACTTTTACATGTCATAAACATGCACAAAACAGCGTCGGTTTACCGCGATTTTACCGGTACGGCTACCGACTCCCATATCAGTGTAATTTACCGCAAAAAATGGTCCGGTACTTGCAACATGGGTTGGCTGTTTCAATTCATGGTTTTAGAACAGTTTCATTTATGCTTCGGTTTTTGACATGCATCAGCACGATCGGACTCGGTTCCAGTCCTTCAGTCACCCAGTTTCGATTGGAACTTGTGTATGCCTATTTGGTATGACTTCGTGCACGCTAGATGACTCAATAACAAAGCTTGATCGAACATAATTTTCAAAAATCAGATGGAATATTATTCATTTTTTTTGCATTATTAATTCACGGGTGCGTCGAGGGGCAAATCTTCCAACTACGTGGAAACTGAATTGTGGGAAGTAAAAGAGTATGCTGAGAAAAAAGTAAGATGGAAGTGTTCATTCGCTTGATTTCGACGATTAGCACTGATTTATTCATACACATAATTTCTGATGTATGGAGTGTTTTATTTGAGAAATTCGTGAAGTATTTATGTTATATTCAAAATTTAAATAAAGCTATGGTTTATTGGGTGAAGAACTATGTTGGATAGACAAATAAGTGAATAACCTATTCTACCGAATGACTCTTTTATACAAATCAGTGGAGCGATTGCAGTTGCTCCCCGATGTCTATCCATCTATATAAATATATGCGTGTCTGTAAGAATACGCTGTAAAAAAAATCCGAGTAACTGTCTAATTCGAGTTCGAATATAAATGGAGAAAATAAAAAGTTAAACTAAAACTAAATATATTCCTAGATTTAATTTTAGTTTAACTTTCCGATATATGCAACATATGAATAAAATAAATATATACCCTTCACCCACACCCACATTTGAGCACTCCTCCATGATATCCATTACTCACAACCACATTTGAAGTATCCCGGATACCCCCTGCACCCCTTCCGGGTACCCGTCACCCACACCCTCGCCATTCGATCATCGTGAAAAGTTGTTTTTCAGATTTCGTTACTATTCTATTTCTTCCATTCTGAAAGATGGAAATCAGTTTTGTACTCACGTGCACTTTAGCATTGCTGTCAATGTGCAACGCATTCTTGAAGTCACCAACATTTCACATAAAAGGACGATCACTGTCGCCTCACGCTGCTATGAGACAATTAGCACAGTCATTGAATGTACATGTGCCCGGTAGGATTGTTCTCGATCATTATTTTATCCAGAGAAATCTACTGGGTTCTTTTAGACAACTGGAGTGATTTGATGAAACCGCCAAGTACAACGGGTGTTGTTGGTGAAGCGGAAGTTGGCTCCTCAAATCTGGAAAGTGTCGTAAACGATTGGTCTTTGCCGGCGTCATTTCGCACCGAAGTAATCGGTAGCGTTCGAACATTAATGTTGACTGCAATTGAAGGATCATACTCGGCTCAAACATATACTTTCGACGCTGGATCGGCCACTACACTATCGACATTATTAGTTGTCGCCACAAAGCTCTTGTCACCATCGAATCCAGATCAGCCGTATGGTTTGATGCATGCAGCGATCAATGGCAATGCTCTAGTCAAACAACAGTACACTAAATACTCAGTAAAAGTTTGTCAGCACTGTAACAAATACTTTTGGAAAGCAAAAGGGTGCTGTCATCACGAAGAGCATTCTTCACCACGCGGTCATTCGGCAGAAGAACTTAACACTGTGCGACAGAAGATGATAGTCGATCAGTACGCTTGGTTTTCTCAACAAAACTTGGCAAATATCGGATCAAAAACGTTGGTTAAAACGTTTATTCCAAATAGATATGATAGCATCACCGAAACTCTTGAGAACCTATTGTCAAGAAAAGAAGTGAAGAATGAAATGGTAATGTCTTACAACGATTCAGTTCTCACTGCTATTCAATCAAATTTCGCTTCGTTAAAATTATCAACACACATATTTCGAGTGAACAAAGTTTCGAAAAATAATATGCCTAAACTTTGCACAGCGTTAGCAAAACAATATGGCTTTGAAGATTTCTATTCCAATTCAGAATATTCACAGCAAATTGCATTGCCAAAGTTCTCCTATGAAACTCTGTTTACTTCACAAAATGTTAGCGGCTTGAGTAAGGTCTTTGTCAAATACGTCTGGATACTTGGTCAAAAAACGGATAATTTGTCTTACGCATTGAATGTTATTTCGCTCACTCATTCATCCCGCATATTGATTGACATGATTCCATCGAATGCAACCAGAAACAGTACATTATCAACTACAGTGGAGAAGTATAATCAGTTAAATATTTCACGATTATCTACCTTCAATTCGGATGGTCAATTTTCGAATCAAAGTCTACTCACATTGAGTTCACCATGGGAACAGAAAACAACACGAACTCTTCTCAATATGCTACGATTCATAGCGGCGAGTGCAATAGTTCCACAAAGGTTCCGCATGTTATCTGATTTCAATGTTGAAGTCACTAGACCACATCCCAATTTCAATTCAAGCATCCGAAACGAGGGACGAACCATCGCTCTACAAGTTCAAGCATTAGCAACTGCAGTTTCAAGCGCTGCTAAGGCAGTTGGAGAAGTCATCAATGTTCTCAAATCAAGTAAAACAGTTACTATAGAAAGGATTCTGCGCTTCGGCTTCTCTTATTTCAATCAAAAAACGAGAATTCTTCGAGCAATGAACGTGCCAAGTTCGCGAGCTGAAGCCTTCATGCGTGCCGTCGCACAGGACTATGATTTGCCAAAAGCAGATAGTTTTATAATGGGAATAACTTATTCGGATGATTTTTCCTGGGAACAAGTTCAATATTTATATTCACCAGCGAAAAACGGAGTGTATCGTTGTTTGACTTTGTTCAAGACCGGTGATTCCACCACAGATACGGCTTCATTCTTCATTGTTGATGTCAATTCGGATTATCATATCGCGCCCGATCTATTGCTCGTCACAACGTCAAAAAGTCGATTGGGTGGCCTTTTCTCGTCGTCAAAGCAAAGTATACAAGAGGTGCCCCATGTTTTAACATTAGATGAAGCTGTTAAACTTCAACAATTCTTCATGCTAGTTGCCATTGGGAATATAGCTCAGACGCTGCACGTCACAACGGATTTTAGTGCAGCGCATAAATAGCGGTGAAGCGAAGAAATCCTATAAAAATAACCTCAATGTAAACCGTTTATCATACTTTTTTTTAGCAAGCCATTAATTTAGTTTTGCTTTTCGTTTAACTGCTTAATTATTCTTCTACAAATCGATACAAATAAATAAATCCCTAAATAAATTGTATCAAAATACGAGTATTTATTCAACATTTTTGAATACATCCAACGTATCTGAACAACGAAACAAAATAATGTTCCTTTATATCACATAGCGAAAATTTACGTTGACACTTGTGCAAGCTATTCAAATTTTTAAGTATACAAAAAGTAGAAAAATAATAGGATTCTGTGATAGACGTTGAAGAAATCCGCCTTATTTTTTTCAAGATTGTCCACTGTACACGTTTGATTAGAGCATCAAGAATGATATAATGCCAATGTTCGTGCCCATGAGATTTAAAGCTCGTAGATATGTCATAGATTCAATAGTTGTCCAATATCAAAATATATTCTTCGTTACAAATAGAGAAAACAGGAGGGCATCTGAACAATTTGATGTGAGTAGATTTCAAAAAAATTTACAGCTGTTGCTATTTCCACCGAGTAACTATTTTCAAATTTTTTAATTTTTAAAGACAAATTTCTTACCGCTGCAGATAACATTAAATAACTGTTATCCGTTTTACGTATGTACATCACATTTCGAGTTTGCATATTAAAAATATTAACCCTACCTCATGTAATGAGGATGAAAACATAGCAGTCGTTAATACAATTTTGTTTTCGTTGTCTTTCTCAATACCTTTTAACTATAAATAGTAAATCAATTAAAATATGAAAATTAAATTAAATTCACTAAATCCTACTACAGAGTGATTCCATTTCTTTCTGATTTTTATACTTCATTAAGAAGAGCAACTCATGTAAAATATTTAAACATCTCAGAATAAATGCATCTTGATAATAATCGTTCGTAGAGTGTAATAAAGCGTGAGAAAATTTTTCGTTCCTCTCAGCTATGAAGTACTTTTCGTAGAGAATATATTTCCCTTTGAGAGAATTAGTAATATTTTTAACTTCTCCAAGAAATGAATTTTTTTCATCGGCATCTCAGAAAGACATTCCAGCGTGAATAATAAGATATTTTTCAGAGTTTTAGTATATGTTAAAAGCATAGGAGCATCTATTGAAATGAAACTCATCAGATATTATCTGTTTTTTTTTGTCACTTGAGACTGATAGCACCGAAGAAAAATTAGCTTGCAATTTTTCACTTAATTGAATCTTTTAAATTTGTTTCTCTTGGGAAATCAATTCGATGTCTTCAAATACTACTCATCATCTACTATAACATCGTAGGGATTTTTCTTTTATTTTCTTGTTTTATTTTTCTAGTCGGAATTGAATATGTTACACATGTCAAAACTTTAAATATTTCTATTCATTTAAAAGCGTTAAGTGTTTGTTTTGACGTTTGCTGGCCCGAAGCAGAATAGACACCGCAATAAAAAAAAAGAAATGATAAGGCAAAGTTTTTTGGTATCTTAATTGAGAACGATGAAAGTATTGAATTACATATGTGCACGTACTTCTCTTTTGTATGAATAAAAATGATGCGTAATATAAAAAGGGAGCAGAAAAATAATGGACCTCCTTTGTTTCTTGTTGTTGTTGTTGTTGTTGTAGAATATCTTACAGGTTAACACATACAAATGAAGAAAATACAATATTTTATCTTATTTTTTTCATTGAACTATTATGTAAGTCTCTAAGTTGTTTATTTTATTTTATCTTCAATTTATTAAGTATAGGTATCTAATGAACAAAAATGGCCAACTGGAATATTATTCTTCGATGATTCTGAAGAAACGATGCATTCTCCATTTCAACCATCAGCATACAGAAATAACAATGTATTAAAAAAAATTCTTGCTTTTTTCTTTCTAAATTTGTAATCAACAATGCTTATTTTTCCACTTCAGAATAAGATTGCTTGTCTTAATTGTTTTACTTTTTATACCATGGATGGAGGTCGTCGAATGATTGTTGAACCCTGCGGAGGACGTCATTGTATTTCAATAGTCAACAATACTCATTTAGACGAATATCACCAACCAACACAAGATTATGATTTTAATAAATGTGGCTCAGTTCAAAATTATCCTTCGATAAAAAAAGGAACGCTACAAGTTAAAATAAGTACAAGTGTTAAGAATACATTACGCCCAGCGGAATATCCATGGCTCGTAAGTATTCACATTTGTCATTTCATTTTACAGGAAAAACAAAACTTATCTTATTTCGTTTTCAAAGGTTCGTATTGAAAGTCGTTCGAATATACATTCGCGTACAGTTACGCTTTGTGGTGGTACACTTATTCATCCACAATGGGTCATAACTGCTGCTCATTGTATGTTTGATAGTCAAAAAAATCGTCCTTATCCAGCTAATGGTATTAATCTTTTTATGGGACATTATGATCGACTTAAAACAAGCAGACATGAATATATGAAACAACCAGCTCTGTATTTAATTCATCCAAAATTTCGTATTAGTCGATTATCACCAGCACCAATTCATGATCTAGCATTAATTAAATTAGCTAGACCAGTACCATTGACGAATTTAATTAATGTAGCTTGTTTACCAACGCACAGCGATCAATTGCAAGATGGTAAATTAGCATTTACAGCTGGCTGGGGACATTCATCGCCTAGTTCAACAGCTGTCAATGTACCACGTAAAGCCCGAATTCGAATATCACCGCGTGCCTGTCGTGCTTTAATGGTCGATAAAACATTACATATATGCGGACGAAATGAACGTGGAAATAATATTTGTAGTGGAGATTCAGGCACTGGTTTAATGGTGCGCGCACGTGTTCAATCAAATAATAATAATAAAACCGAATGGAAATGGCATCTATTTGGTGTGGCCAGTTTTGGTCTTGACGAATGTTCACAAAATGTCAATCATGATAACGCATTTGCGTCTGTTTCAGCCGATATTGATTGGATATATGAATCAATGGAAAAATACTAAAGAAGAAAATATTTTGATTCTTTTTCTAAATATAAGAATGTCATGGATGACCTATGATTTATTGTATATTTAAAAGAGAAATATATTGACTAATAAATAAATAATTGTATTGACGCACGTGTTGTGTCATTATAGAGACGAAGGCCGATTTTTTAAAATAATATTCATCGATTGTAGGAAAAGAGACAGCAAAATTGCATTGAGTGCCGTGATGCGTAGCTGCATTTTTTTCTCATTGCTCACCTCTACCACGGTCGTTCTTTTCTAAATAGCTGCATACACTATCGTTAATATTACACAAAACCACACAGGGACGTCACTGCTATTTGTAAAACAACAACATATTGTACGTGATAAGTTTACACACACACAACGACAAAAAAGCGAGAGAGAGAGAGAGAGGGAGCAAGGCTTTTGCTATTCTCAAGGCCTTTCTATAACAGAATAGCGTGTTTGAATCAAAATCGAATTTATATTGCCTAGCTGGTAATACACTTATGTTTGGTGACGAACGAGAATCAACACGTTCACCGACTACATCGAAAACTGATTCATATCGTGGCGGGCCCATGTCAAGAGAAAATGACCATCCATATCAACGACGTTCATCGCTGAACGAAGAATATGAACGAGACGACAATGAGTATGAAGCAGCACCAGAAGATATCAGTGAGTCTCAAAAAAAAGGTCCACCACCTCCACGTGAAGATCAATACATAGCTGCGTTAAGATATCGTTTTCCAAATCGGCCGAAAACTGATTATGCCTATTCGAAACCGCTTGTTCCGTTGAGTATGTTTTATTAAATATTTTTCTAAATAAATCTATATTCATTGAAAATATACAGGTCCAACAACGCCGCCTGCTTCACAATCAACAACAACAACAGCACAGCCAAAAGCAACAACACCATCAGCATCTACAAATACACCGGCAAGCAGAAATGGAGCTTATCAATCAAGTATACGACCAACCAGTGGTAGTGATACTAATGCAGCTGAAGTATCTGATGATAAACCGTTCCTAAGACCAGCTTTACGTCGTGTCAATCCGGATCAACAAAATTCTTATGCACGGCGTCTCACTGATGATACGACAACGTCAACGCCAACATCAACACCAGCTCCTACTCAAACAAAACCCATTGGTTCAGGTGGAGGAAATGTTCGAATAAATGGTCAAAACATAGACGCGAATAGACCTAATACATCAACATATCCACATCAATCCGGAATATCAAGAACACAAGAAAGTGTATTTGAAAAAGTCCATCCACAAGGCGGATCCGTTTCGTATCTGGGTACTGGTACTTTTTCACAATTGGAACATTGTTTACGTGAATGTTTGGAACGTGAACGACGTCAAACTGGCATTGCAAGTCATATTACACGACATGATTTTCCATCTAATGCTTCTGTACATGAGTATGGTTATGATTCAAATTTAACATCGATTCCTTGTGGACTTAATCCAAGTTATAATTATCATCTTAACGATTATCCTTCGCGAGCTGCTGCAGAATTTTCACTCGATGACATTCGTTATATTAATGTTGCTCTCTCCCGAAATGGAATTCCACTATTTCCCTATGAACGATTTTATCATCAGCCATATCCTTCTTCAGTGCCAACGCTATCAACTACTACGGCTATGCACCATCAGTATTCAACTGGAAGATCTGCTATGGGTGAAGTTGTATCGGCATGTCGACTTGTTGAAGAAGATCCAGCAATCATCAATAGTAGAAATGCAATTTAAGCTGTATAAAATGTTTGGAATGCAATGGATAATCATCAATCGTTTTCGTATTTTGAAGCTTAACAAATCAAACATATACTCAAGATGACCACAATATTCTTTATTCGAGAAAAATAATTATCAACAACTTTTGCCATAGAAATAATTACTATGATATAATTTTCATTTTTTATTTAAAAGAGTAAATTTTATCTTCACATAAATATCATTTGTAGATTTTTTTTTTCTATGAATAATATAAATAGTTCTAAATAACAAAAAAAAACGTTCTACACCATATCAAGAAATATTCATTGATAAATAATATGAATTGCACATGATGTAAACGAATAAAGAAATAAGAAAAATTTCATGGCATCTTTTGTATTACCTTATTAAAAACTAATTTGATTGCAGTAGTAAGAATAATTCAAAAGAAAGAATACAAGTGAGAGAACGAATGAAACTGGCGCATTCGTTTCATACAAATCATGGGTAATATTGTTACACCAGACCAAGGTTTACTACCGTTGCCGGCTTACGGTAGTGGAGTCATGTAAGTAGATTATCTTTGAAAATCCTTTTGTTTTACTCTTGAAAATCTTTTTCTAATACAATAATTTATTGGTTTGAATGTTCTGAGATCACGTATCTCATTCGTAGGTGTGATTGTGATATCGGAAGTTTTAATGAAAAAAAAATCTTTTTTTTTCTGACAAAAACTTCTTTCACGGACACGATCATGTCAACGCGCCGAAAATCATAAACTCTGCTATCGTTATAAGCAAATAGAGACAAACTTAGTCAGAGCTCCATTCAGAGGGAAATGGATTCTGTCTGTTAATTGAATCTTTTCTCTTTCAGCACTCCGTATCCGTGGTGGCTCAACACTGCTTTAGCTATATGGGCTCTATTGGCTTTGCTTTGTTGTTGGTTGTTACTACTTCTCTTCCTTTTACGTTACTGTTGTCGATGGTGGCGACATCGCAACTATGCAGCTGATGTGCGTGTTCTTTTTTTTTAATCGTTTCAAAAAGTTTCTCTATTCTACTTCTCTTTGTGTTTAGCGTAAATCATTGCGCGAAAGATTTTTGAATGCAACTTATGCACAAGATCTAAATAATCTATATATTGCAAACAATCAACGCCTTGCAATAGCTCCCTTACCCCCAGTTCCGCCTTATGTTGTACAAGCCGGTAGTGATGCCAACTTTCGAGATATTCATGAACGTCGTATAGTTGAAGATGAATTTTATGTTGGCGCAACTCCTTATGTAACAGCGATAGTTGAAGATGCTGAAAATGACGTATTTGAATCTGGTTCGGAATTTATTTCTGAAGAAGAAATTCAAAATCATACAACCAATCCGTTTAGTCGCCGTCCGGTAACGGTTATTGCTGATGAGTCATCCGGAGGCGTTAAGGAAAATATCGAAACTAATGTTCAACGTAATATTACAAAGAATTATTACATAAATGAAGAGCAAAATTATTTTATTCAAAACGATCCTCCATTACGTGAAACATCAAATCATTTACATGATCAAGAAATTCAACGACTTCCAGGACCAACAGTAACAACAGTTAACATGGCTGCTGAGCGTATTGCTGAAAATCCAAGTAAAACCTTTTTTTTAAGATTTTATTCATCGAAAAAGTATTTTTTGTTTCTACATAGATTGGGAAAAAGCAAGTGTAAATGAAAATTTTAATAATGAAGATCCGAAAAAAGCAGCTTCCGAAATTGTAATCAATGATCCGTCACTACTCAATCAAAATGTTAAATATGAAAAACAACCAAATATTTACATGCATCGGCCTGTTATTCCGGAAGTTCGACGTATTCCTAATCGAAAATTAGGAGGAAAAATGTCTCGAAGAACTGATGAAGATTCAACAACCAGTGAAATGAGTGGACATGATTCCGAATCAGTCTATGAGACAGTTCGTGTTTTCACACCAAGACGACAACGTGAGTTATTCAGACTTATTTATCATTATTAATTTATACTTTTATCTTTAGCTTTACCGACATTGGAAGATGAAGATGAATATAAAACAGCGGGTGTCGATGAAGTCGAAATTGAAATTAAAGATCTTGTTCGGATACAAAAATCAAATGAGACAAGTAGTAGTAATATATATGAGAGCATTTTATCACCCTCGTCATCCGCACTGAATAACTTAATAGTGGCAAGTAATTCTCAACAAGATCAAGCTAATGATATTTCAGGTGCCGAAGAAAGTGAAAAAACCGTTACAGAAACTGTTAAAACTCAACAAATGCAAACAACAGTTCGTCAAATAGGACAAAATATTGAGGAAAGTACACTTTTTATTCCATCGGCGTCATCGATGGTATATCAAGAAGGAAAACATATTCAACAACGACAAAATGACGATGCAAGAATCATTATTCCAGTCTCAACAACAACGATCGCCTATGAAAAAAAACGAACATTAGAACATTTTTAAATCATTTTTTCTTCTTCTATTATCGACATTGTCAAGATAATAAAACGACTGATGCGCGTTGTAACTAACTAACCATCCCATTAAATATATATGCTCACCCTGATATATTATTTTTTGCGTTTCGATCACAAACAATAGAAAGAAAAGGGCACCATTTGTGATTTAGTAGGCGTTGAATACATCAAAAGAAAAGTATATATGAAAGTGTTCGATGAATCTTTAGTCTTATTTTGTTCTTCAACGAAAAACAGTATCATGAAAATACAAGTTTTGCTCGTAACAATAGCTATGCTTTACTGTTCATGTAAAAATGGAACAGTTAATGGAATGGCAATATTAAATACAGATCAAGTCACGACGGCATCACATCAACCAATAGCTGAGCTGATGAAACCCAAAGTTCTGATTGAACCACGCATTTTAACAGCCGCAAAGCCCGTTTATGATAAAGCCGTGATACCGAATTCCAAGGTGAATAATGCATCAAATAAGTCAACAGCTGAGCCAATCAACGCTAAACCTCAGATTGAGCCACGCATTTTAACANAGGTCACGACGGCATCACATAACCCAATAGCTGAGCCTATGAACCCGATAGTTCTGATTGACCCACGCATTTTAACAGCCGCAAAGCCCGTTTATGATAAAGCCGTGATACCGAATTCCAAGGTGAATAATGCATCAAATAAGTCAACAGCTGAGCCAGTGAACGCTAGACCTTTGATTGAGCCACGCATTTTAACAGCCAAAAAGCCGGTTGATGATAAAAAGACGACACCGGATTTCGCAGTGGATTATTCATCAGATCAATCAGAAACGGCATTAGAGGTAAGATCGGATGTTTCATCTGTTAATCTATTAGAAGCGCTCGAAAATCCGTCTACTGATCTTGCTCAAATCCAGAAGAACTTACGTAAGTTAATGTTGTTTTATTTGCATTTAAATTATTCGAAGCATTTTTACAGAGTTTTGTGCAAGTGCTAGGTGTTCAAAGATCTATTGTGAAAATAATTTACCAGCAATACCGACTCAACGCATTTGTTGTCCACGATGTGTTAGTAAGTATCAACTACTGCTATTGCTCTAGTAATCAATTTCGGTACTTTTCTTTTGTCGAATAGCTAATCCAAAATGCGATGCTAGTGAATGTCCAACACTCAAGTGTCGTACTTATATTATTCCCGCTGATTTTAGTACTGATGAATGTTGTGATCGTTGCGCGCCAACATCTGCCAATGATGCTGATCAAACAAAGATTAGTAAACATTTACGAAGATTTCGCAATGGAACACCCAAATATGGGAAATCATCAGAATCACACCACTCTTCTAGCAGCAGCAGCAGTAGTAGTGAAAAGGATCCATTGAGATATATTGGTTGCCTAGTACCTCCTTTTGAAAACCAACCGAAACACTGTGGTAAGTTTTTTTTATTATCTAGCCAAACAAGTAAAAATTATGATATTTCTAGAGTCAGTTTTCATGCAATTGATAGGTGAAATTACTGTACGTCTTCATGGTAAGTAGGATGTTGATGTAATAATGATGTTATCTAACTTTAATTTCTATTTATTTCATTTTCAGATGAAGAATACGATGGTTTTGATGACATGAGTGACTCGGGTGGAATGTTCATGGACAAATAATTCTATTTTCATTTTATTATTGACTTTGTATCTTACGAAAAAAGTCTTCTAATATATCGGTGTCATGAACCCCTTTCCCCTATAATTAAAATACTGGTAATTAATTTTTTTCTCTCAAATAAAAAAATATATTAAAAAGCATATACAAAAGAATAATTCTTTGACTTAATACTAATGAATATTACAAGAATTCAAATAATATTTGTTTTTCGCTTGCTTCAGTAGTTTTATAATTCTGTAGTATAAAAAATCAAGGGAAAAAAACGGATTTTTGGGATTTTCAAAATCCCAAATCCGCCTTTTCCCTCTTGTAAAAAATTATTTTGCCAATGGTACTTATGATCATCTTTACATTGTTAAAAACAATACACCTAGGACGACTTCTTTGATATTACAAGTTATCAAGTCTTCAACCTATGACTTCGGTCAATCGATCACTATTTATCTGATTGCATATAAGTTAACTTAAATAATTGGGAACACATATCTAAACATTCATCGTAGTACGGATGAGTGCATCACGAGACAGTAACAAGACACAATACGGTTTCTTTCTTTTAAAAATAATGCATATGAATGTCATTTGCTGTATTCAATATTATATAAATATGCAGCCATTCAATACATAACTTAAACAATGCACAGACCCAAACAAAGCCTAATTAGATACTATTGATATTGTCAAAAAAATTCCTGTTATCGTCAGTAGACTGTTCTGTAATTTTATAATACCCTATGGAATGTCTAAGTAATAAGTGCACTTTCAACAAAAATCATTTATATCTTCGACGGTTTTTTTTCCAAGTTTCTTGATAAATGCATGCAGATAGATGGAAGTAAAGAGATCAATAAGTTGACTTCAATATTTCTTCTCTTCACGAATTTCTGAGAAATTTTGACCAAGAATCAATCTGGTGTACTTGCCCGGTGTTAGTCATGTGCGGTGTGCGTTCACTGAACACCGATAGACGCCGACAGCGACGCTCAGTACGCACTGATGGGTTCAGCGCCACTGATCACCGAAATATTGATCACACTGACACCGACATCACTGATGCACTGATACCATCGCCGTCACTGGTAAGCCAGGCACACTGACTTCACTGATATCTCTTAATTAATAGTTACATAATACTGCAAGACATGTGCTTTAAATAAACAAATAATGATCACAATTAAATACAACATGTTTTTCAATGTTTTTCTTTTTTATGTGAAGCCAATTTAATTTCAATCATTAAACAATGATTTAATGAAGATAAAATACTAATAGAAATAGAAAAAATATTTTAATCAGTGATTTTTTGTTTAACACGAATGTTGTATTTAATTATCAAAATTAAATCCTATTTATATTATTTTATTTTATTTTATTTTATCAAGAATGATCATAAAGTAGATGCATATATTTTTCAGGAAAATTAATAGTTAGAGTATTAGAAACGTGAAGAAAATGAATACATTTTCGTCGAAGAATTAGATAAATAAGTTATAAGTGAAAAAGTCTTCGACAAAAATAAAAACATGCTTCTACTTTATGATCACTCTTTGTTTATTTAAAGCACATATCTTGCAGTATTATGTAACAATTAATTAAGAGATATCAGTGAAGTCAGTGTGCCTGGCTTACCAGTGACGCCGATGGTATCAGCGCATCAGTGATGTCGGTGTCAGTGTGATCAATGTTTCGGTGATCAGTGGCGCTGAAGCTGTCAGTGTGCACTGAGAATCATTGTCGGTGACAAAAGTGACGGGTTTTTCGGTGTTGCCACTGGCGCCGCACATCCATACCCGGTGTGTGTGTGTGTGTGTATACGATTAACCTCGGTTTCATTCCTCTGGTGGAGGCTTCTCGTTACACGCGTGTGAAATTGAAATCGAAGAAAAATAAATAATTTTCAGTCAATTCAATTTATTTTCAACCGAGAAGAAGAAGAACAATTCACGAATTTATTCGATAGAAAAACGTTGAACGCGATGATTATCCTGATCGACAACACAGAGATTGCCATGCCGATCAAAGGACAAATTAAATGAACCAATAAACTAATTTGCTTCTGCTCCTCGACTATTCCCACCCACAATCACAGTGCCTTGTTTTGCTCCTTGAGGCCAACACATCACACGATGATTCCCAGAGTCTGCCACGTAGAGAGTATTAGAATTATCGATGAAGACTCTGGAAAGACACGATAGTTGAGCCAATGCATTTCCTTCACATTGACCTCCAGCGATGACAATGCTTTCGTTAGCTTCCTTAATCCATTTCATTATGCGATGATTCCACTTGTCTGACACATAGATATTCCTCTGTCGATCAACAACAAAATACATTGGTACGTAGAATTAATTGAGGCGAGAACCTGTGCCATTGGCACCAGCTACTAGAGTATCAATCTTATCTCCCAGTTGGTATCGTTTAACTTCATCCTTTTCGTCATTAGAGACATACAGAGATCTATGGTCGTCTAAGGTCAATCCCCAACATACGATATTATTGATGAGGATTTCACCTTGAATTGTATCACTATGACGAGAGCATCGTACGACTCGTCGATTGTCTCTATTGCAAATAATAAGACTATCAGTCTCTTTGTCGGTCAATACATCAGATGGACTACGCACTTGATCCAGTCGATTTCCTACGCCATCACTGTTTCATCATCGTCAACAAAGATACCATGAGGATTCGCGAGTTGATTAATGCTCTTTTCATACCCCAGGTCTCCAGCAATAGTTACGCCATTTTGTGCCCATTTGGCTTTCGCAGGAATATTGAGTATGGCTACAAGAAAAAGAAAGTCTTACTCATTTCATGCTATCTTGCGTGTCGTAGTGTTAATAGCGTAACATGGAAGTTAGAAGTAGAAAGCATACAGAATCAGATGCGCATTCTTAAGCAATGGTAGAAAATTTTCAGGTAGCGTCTAAAGGAAGAAGAAATATAATTCATAAATCAGATATGCTGCATCAGTATAACCTATATTATAAAAGAAAATTCCTATCGGAAGTAACCGATAGAAAATCCAAATGAATTTTTTTCGGAAAAACTCTGTTAGTAATGGCTAGCCAATTATGAAAATTCCGTAAGAGGGGTTCGATCATACCAGAAAACGTTAAACTTCTCAGGTGTTTTAAAAAGACATTACGATCTGAAGGAAGCAGAAGTAGGGTTGCATTAAATCCGATTAATGGACACTTGGACTTTGCCCATGTCGCACAGACCGATCGAGAAATTCCGATTAACCGTCGGTTTTTACACTTTAAAGTCGCCAAAATAGCTTATATAACCCCGGTTAATCCATTTTTATAAAAATGAACCGCGGTAAACCGGTGGCTTTCCATCGATCTGCGTGGTATGGGTGCTTAGTGTTGATTAAGGTTGCGAAGTTATCATCATCGCTAGGTTATAAGAAGTTATGACCAAAAGAAAGATTAGAATATGGAAAAAGTAGTGCAGCCATTCAATTACTTGACATCTAATAACTTTCGTAAAATTTTCTAAAAATAAAGTAGATTCAAGAGTTTTGCATTGTCATCTAATTTGATTTCGATAACTTTACAGGCTTACTCAAAACTAAGTGAGTCTCAGGCAAAATAATAGTCAAATCTAGAATTTGAATTGCTTTTGGTGGATCCGCAGAGAGAAAGATCAAAAGTGTCAAAGAATGATCTACCAGAAAATCAGAAAAGCAGACTTATTAAACTAACTGCTATGAGCATCCTACTAGGAAAGTGACTGTGTTTTTTGTTGTTGTTGAGAACTATCTCTGATGAAAAGACGACAATGATTGCTTTCAAACAATTTTTTCCGTTGATATAAATTTTACAAATCTTCTCAGAATCTCTTACATACCCAGGTGAATGAATCCGACAACGGATCTTATCGAATCCTATGGGATCCGACTCCCCGACAGAATCCGATAGGATTCTACTATCGGAATGATTCTCCTGGGTAATGAACTTGAACCAATCGAGCAGTGTAGCACGATAAAAGCTACGTTTATAGAGTCCACTGTCAGATGAGGGTCTCAAGAAAACTGAAGCAGTTTTAAGTTGACATAAAATTGGAAATTTTTGTTGATCTGGTAGTACGACATTGTTCCGTATTTTGGTAATCGAATCCATAGTTTAAATCGCTAAAGGCCGGGGGTGGATATGCTAGCAAAAACGGCCCTATTTGAAAACCATAGTGAAACACCTATTAACTATACATAGTTCAAAAAGAAATTAATACAAAACGACGAATCAATAAAAATTTCTGCGAATCTTCTACTTTTTTCCTGCGAGCTAGGTGATATCTCTTATACGGCTTATACAAGAGCTATATACGGGATAACTTGACTATATAGTGCGCTTAAAAGTTATTATTGATAACCCAATTATATATCATTGAATGCGGCACTAAATGCTGAACAAAACCATACAAAAAAAACTTGCTTCAGAAAAGCTTGGGAAACGGGTGCGCATAGGAGCACTAAAACATATCATAGTCTTTTTCACGTAGGATTCTGTTAATAGTCTCCCATGGATCTCAATATTGAAGATAGATACCGGCGTGATTTTTTCTCCATATATAGTTCTAACTAAGCCCTACAA